GTCCTCATCTGATGAGATCGAAAAACGAATCTCTTTTTCATGTACTTTCATTCGAAATGAAGGTCCCCCTAACAATGATATTATCTTGTAAGGCAAAGAGCATGGAAATATGACTGCCATAGGCAAGTCTGTTGAATAAATCTGTGCAAAATCAATCTGTATGACGAGGTTTTAGTACTTTTCTGGTCTTCAAAGTCATTAATAAAAAAAAGTCTAAAGCATAGAATTGGAACTGTAATATGGTGTTTAATAATACTGGAAATAAGGGAAACCTATTAGAAGGCCTGCAGTAAGTACGATCAAATAGGCAAATAAATTCATTTAATAAGCATGGGTTTACCAACACTTATAGATATATATGGAGCTTGATTCCATTTTTTAGAGAAGGCAGTCTTGACAGATCCGTTTAACCGCTGGTTATATTAAAGAGTTTGGTTTGCATTTGCACTCAAAAGAAATTTTTCTTTTCCATCTTCGTTAGGACAACCAGTTTCCTATTTGACTTACGCTTATCTACAATGATAAGATAGAGCATTACAATAAGTTGGGCGAAACAATCAGACTCTTTCTGACTATTAATGTAGTCTCTCAGCCTATTGAGCTGGTTAGGAGAGGGACTTAATCCGAAAAATGAAGTTCTTGTCTATAATTCTTCAAAAGCAGAATTATGCGCCCCAGTAGCCGATTGATTGCCTCACTCATCAGCTTTCCAATGGTGATGGCAAAGATATCAGCCCACTCGAGAATAAGAGACAAGAACAGATGGTCATTTTGCTGTTAGCCGTTGGATGTGACAATAGCTTAGGCTGAGGCAACAGAGTACTGGGCAAATTGCTGGCTCAAGAAGCCAACCGTCTGCTTTCTTGCCAGTCTCGATGCTTCCTAAGCACCCTGTGCACTAGCAATCGGTGTCAGTCGGCGTCAATCGATGCCAAAGGTTGCTCTATTTCTTCTCAACTCTGCATACATCTTCCATTGTAGACACTTAAAGTGTTCATACTGAGGCATGTCTATCTTAAACTCGGTGTCATTGTCTTAGTGCTGGCATTTGTGTCTGCCTGAATCTTGCTATGTGCCATGTATGACTCGTTAGTGAGCATGATCGTGCTCAACGATGGTACATTTATTTCTACAATTGCAAAGTGTGCTTGCCTTACTCTGGCATAATATGTGTATTTCTATTCAACTGGTGGCCATCATCAGTTTGTCCTATTAATATGATTCCAATAATAGACGTACACGCATTAGCCCATACTTTGGCGCCCCAACATGTTGAGGACTCTATTAATGGTCCACAATTCGGACTTGTGCCGGTTCTCACACTTATGCAAGGACACCTCTTTAGTCTGTAATTGGCCAGACTGTGAACTCCAGCCTCCTCCTTGCTCATCCTGCCTCAACCTGGTAATACATGTGGATTTGAAGACATTTGGTTGTCTGTACAAGGAGTTGCATAGATATACTGACAGACGACGAGAGTGAATGCGCGAAAGAGGAGAAGAAAGGGCGGGAGACAGAGAGAGGTCTGATGAGGGAGCAATTTGCAGAGGATTGTTGTGCTGCCAATGTGCATGTATTTAGGCCGAAACGCAATGTGTGCCCTCTGAGCCCCTGGCCGCGTCATCGACTCATCGGCTTTGTCCACATTCTTCAGAAGGTGCTCCTCAAGCCTCTTCTTAATCGGACTTAAGTCGTCGAAACATAATCTCTCACTCGAATGTATGAGGACCAAAATTGTGTAGACTCTCTCTCTCTCAACTCGCTAACCCTAAGGGTCAAGGCCCTAGGTTCGTTGTCATGTCGTGCGCCTTGCCTACTAAGCCAGTCTCGTAAATGTCTGAATATGTGGCTGGCCTGCTGACAAACGCTAGGACTATGCCCCAGTCACAGGTCTCGCCTTGCCCTACGACCTGCCATACCGATTCGACTCAATCCTGCCATAGCGACAGAGGTGTGGCTGGGGCACGTCTTCGATCCTTCCATGACTAGGCTACCCTGCCAGTCGGATTCTATGTCTCTAACCTCAGCTGAGCGAGTGTGTTTGTTTGCTGGTCAAGTTTCAGATATGTTCACGTGAAAATCACCCAGTGCTTCACTTATGTTTGCCTGTTTCTCTTAACTTTTTGGTCCAAGTTATCGTCACATTTACATGCACCATTTGTCGACTGCACTTGTTGAATTCAGGCCGCGGGTGTACCTTTTGAAACCGACACTGTGAGGCACGCATGCAGTGAAGGGGAGTGAGACGAATTGAGAACGAGAAGAACCAGGCTATTGCACATGGGCAACACACCAACACACGCCTACACATGTCTACACAAACACACAACGCATGCTCAAAAAGCAAAATGCATACAATACATATGGGTAATTATGGTGGGCATATAGATACATGCAGGCTGGTACGAAGAGAGAGAGGAGCCCCCTGCAACCTCCAGCTTCCAACCCTGATGCAGGCTGTTGGCAATGCCGATGATGCCACACTGATGAGGATGATGACGCTAAAGAGACAGAGAAGGAAACGAGTACGATTGTGATTAGCCGCCTGTTTGCTGCGTCCATCTTTAGGTCGGCCGGACAGAACAATGCACTCATGATCTACCCAAACGTAAAGAATGTGGGCCATTGCTTTAGACAAATTGTGTACTCAGATATTGACCATACAGCCTTAAGCTCCACAAAATATTGTGTCGAAATCAAGCATTGCATGTATTTGAAGCCCCGTGGATCAGGGCTTAATTGCCACCTGAATGCATTCTCAAAAAGGAAAGCATACAAAGTCACAGAAAGCACCTTAATCGAGTACTCAATTAAGGTAAATGCATCTACGATAGGCTTTGATTTTCTATATTCATGGGAGCGGAGGCCAAATCGGTCAGTATGGCATAGAAAATTCATATACATCAGGTGCATTATTTGACTTGTGTACAAATCCACAACCTTATAGCCTGGATGAAGAGCTTCGGTTGAGTAGTGTTTTCAGCCGTTTTATTCACCTGTGCTAGTATGTTTGTATACAGGAAAGAGGGGCTACCTTTGTATTCTTAAGAAAATATAACATGGGGAGGTAGAACAAAGAAATATTGCTTGTGCTTATACCTCAATAATGTATGAGTTATGGGGTTTTATAATAAAAGGTTCAAATGTTGGTCATCATAAAAGACTAAGGCCGATAATCTTAGAAATCCCAGGCCTGGATATTTTATTGAATGTCTCCCAGGCCTGGATATTTTATTGAATGTCTCTTGTGAAAAGAGGTGAATCATCCTTAGCATCATGAGTCATGTAATAGCTATACGTTGTTAAAAGAAGACCAGCATGCTAGACCAAACTAAATGTTTCGTATTTACCTAAACTCATCCTTTCACCTGTACCTTATCAACAAAGTAAGATACGAACCTGGTTTCGAAATTTAAAACGTGAATACTATGAGGTTTAACAAATTTCACAAGACGTGATAATCAGGATTTGACAGTGCCCAAGAGCGTAGGGATAAGCCGAAATGGCAGATTCGTTTCCTCTATTGTACTGGCACAAGTCATTCTTAAAAATAAAAATAAAAATAATCAAGGAGTCGGACTTTAAAACTTTTAATAAGTAATTAATAAAAATTGAGTGAATCTAGATCGTTTAAGATGATGTTAGAACTGGTAGGTGAAGCCATCATTAAGGAATGAATATGCTTCACAATGTTATTGCAATTCAAATAGCCT